CCGTCAGGTATTTGGCCTTTTGTGAGAGAGGTGGCAACTTCGACATTTCCATTGGGATACACGGATATACGGATATACGGATAATATACGGGTGTGCATGTAGTCCGGTACGGGCCACTTCCCCAAAGCCAATGGCGCATCGCACTGCAAGGAAAAGGTGATATGTTGGTGTTTGGTCGGTGTCACCCTCTCCACGAATATCCACACATCGACGCACAAGCACCGTGATGTACCGCTGGCTGTAAAGAACAACAGCTGCAGCTGACCATACACCAGTAGCACCAGGCGTGAATGATGCGCGGATACAACGCATTGAGAGTGTTCGACCATACGGCACGGGCACGCACATTTCCCACAGCCCGGCCGCGAACACCTTCACCTCCCCTCATAGGTAGCACTGCACTTGCACACCGCATCATCTATCGACCCTTCGAAAATTCCCGTACGCCTTTTGAACCCTCCCAGACCGGATCCCAGAGTCGTACGGTACATCAAAAGTTGTCTAATTTTGAGTTCTGTCCGTTTCCAAGAAGAACCAGCAAGAAAGATGTTCGCCGTGAATTTCTCGTGGCTTTTCCGTGTTTACACCATAGGGAGTTGGAGAATTTCTTGGACTTAGAAAATTTTCCACACTCACGCATAGACAGTCATGTATACATGTACAAGGTACATGACGTACATTGTGCATATACATGTGCATGCACATGTTCCCCTATCCCAGGCTACATGACTTGTACAATGTCGCGTACATGCATGTACACTGCTACTAGAAGTAGTGCTTACCCTAAGTGACAGTCATGACGGTACGTCTCACACCTCACACTCCCTACACGCACACTGTGCCGCCAGCTACATGACTCTGTACAGTGCAGTGATGCTTGCGCTAACTGACATGACTGTGACATAATTTGTATTACCTCACACTCCATGATTGTGCACGCTGTCCCAGTCACACGTGCACTACTGGCACTGCGCCGGTGCTTTTCAACCTTACTGACATCAAGGTACTACTACTCAGTAGATGATCTCACGTCTCACACCCCACATTCTTGTGCGAACAACACTATCCCAGCTAGCTACATGTCACACTACTGCTGGCGCTAACTGACTGTGTTGCACTACTTCTCACACCTTGCACTCCACTATGCACACTGTCCTTGCTCTTCGAACTACACCTACATGACGATTGTATGCTAACTCTTTGAGTAGCACCGGCTGGCAGTGTCACACCTAAACCCGTAGGTGCTATGAATGGCACAGCATTCATCGTCACATTCGTTTGCACTACTTCTTCCTTGAGATTTTCAAAATGGCCCTATCTCTACTACGCTGGGGACAAAATTAGCCCCCAGCCTTGAAACTACTGAACCGTCACTTGTGCACTGCATGTTCATCTTCTCACGCGCTCATTACCATCATCATCTCGAGCATTTTCAAAAAGTGATCATCATCTCTAGCATTTTTTCAAAAAAAAAATTAAAAATCCAAAAATCCAAAATTTCACCTTCACATCATCATCATCATCATCATCATCGGTAGCATTTTCAACCAAAAAAAAAAAATCCAAAATTCCAAAATTTTCTAAGTCCAAGAAATTCTCCAACTCCCTATGGTGTAAACACGGGAAAGCCACGAGAAATTGGCCATGAGGTTCTTTCGGGCATATTTCTTTGGCCACAGGATAGAACTCAAAATTAGACAACTTTTGATGTACCGTACGACTCTGGGATCCGGTCTGGGAGGGTTCAAAAGGCGTACGGGAATTTTCGAAGGGTCGATAGATGATGCGGTGTGCAGGTGCAGTGCTACCTATGAGGGGGGATGAGGAGTTATGAGTCTGGAGCCGGATGGCATCGATCAGTGTAAAAACTGGTCAGACGGTGTCTACAGGGTTTTCGGGTGCACTTCTCATCGGCTGAGCGTTCGGTGGCGATTTCATTCGGATGTAATCACATGCGAGTGGTGCCCTGCGATACCACTTTGATGGGTCGTAGGGGTCGTAGCCGAAACAGTTACAGCGTGGACGAAGGCGATTTTCGTGTGCAATGGTAAAGCGATTTTGGCTCTGAGCCAATGTTGTCTGAGCCGGGCACATGAAAAAGTCCTAAACAAACCTTGCGGTTGTGTTGGGCTGAAGTGAGTTGAAAGCTTGCTTGGTGTTTCGGTTGGCTTGGCGTGGTAGTCAGAAGAGCAGTCGTTCCTAGGAACACTGATCGGCTGATCCCGCATCAAACGATTGTCGTTGAGCGCAACGTCGTCCCTGATTTCTGTGATTCCCGCTGGCAGCATCGTGCACAACGCACAGCTGTCGGTTAACTCGGGTTGAATGAGGTCTGTCTGGGCGCGTGCGTGGCAATCGTCGAGAATTGTGTGGAAGACGTGGCAAACAGGCGCGGTTAGGGAGGAATCGATGGCGTGCGAGCGCTTGAGGTTGCTTCTACCGAGAAACGACCGTGGGGCTGCTGTCCCTGCACTGAATTGGGCTTGCCACGCGAGAAACGAGTGGACTTCTTCCGAGGCTCGTCGTTTTCACGTCTGTGTGCACGGCACTAACAATGTGCAACCGATGCCCGTGCTTCTGTAAAAGGTCGTGCGGGTGGTCGGTAGAAGGTCAGATATCTGGTTGATCCTGCCAGTAGTCATATGCTTGTCTCAAAGATTAAGCCATGCATGTCTAAGTATAAGCGTTCTTATACCGTGAAACTGCGAATAGCTCATTAAATCAGTTATAGTTTATTTGATGTTGACTTACTACTTGGATAACCGTGGTAATTCTAGAGCTAATACATGCGTTAAAGTCCTGACCTCTCGGGGAAGGGATGTATTTATTAGATCCAAAACCGATGCAGTCGAAAGGCTGGTTATTGGTGATTCATGATAACTGAACGGATCGCATGGTCTTGCGCCGGCGATGACTCATACAAATATCTGCCCTATCAACTTTCGATGGTAAGGTAGTGGCTTACCATGGTTGCAACGGGTAACGGAGAATTAGGGTTCGATTCCGGAGAGGGAGCCTGAGAAACGGCTACCACATCCAAGGAAGGCAGCAGGCGCGCAAATTACCCAATCCCGACACGGGGAGGTAGTGACGATAAATAACAATGCAGGACTCTAACGAGTCTTGCAATTGGAATGAGAACAATTTAAACCCCTTAACGAGGAACAATTGGAGGGCAAGTCTGGTGCCAGCAGCCGCGGTAATTCCAGCTCCAATAGCGTATATTAAAGTTGTTGCAGTTAAAAAGCTCGTAGTTGGATTTCGGAGCGGAGCTCACGGTCCGCCTTTTCGGGTGTGCACTGTGTTGTTCTGTTCTTCTTCTCGTGGAGCGTGTGTGCTCTTCATTGAGTGTGCACGTAACTCGGGACTTTTACTTTGAAAAAATTAGAGTGTTCAAAGCAGGCCTTGGCTTGAATACATTAGCATGGAATAATGAAATAGGACTTTGGTTCTATTTTGTTGGTTTTCGGAACCAAGGTAATGACTAATAGGGACAGTTGGGGGCATTCGTATTCAATTGTCAGAGGTGAAATTCTTGGATTTATGGAAGACGAACAACTGCGAAAGCATTTGCCAAGGATGTTTTCATTAATCAAGAACGAAAGTTGGAGGTTCGAAGACGATCAGATACCGTCGTAGTTCCAACCATAAACGATGCCGACTAGGGATCGGTGGATGTTATTAAATGACTCCATCG